CATTGACAAAAAGTAAAAAAAAAATCAAAAATAATTTTTTTTTACGTGCAGTAGTGGGAAAAGCTTTTCCCACCAGATTATGAAGAAAACAAGCGTGTGAGTGCTGCCTTGGGAAAAAAGTTTTCTTGTAAAAAAAAAACACTATCAAACACTAAATAAAGTGAGAAATGGAAAATGGTTTCCATTTTCCCTAGAAAAACTCACCTATCAAACATACCCTAATATAAAATTATGCAAAGATGAAAATATTATAAACACTCATGTTAATAGCTTTCATAATCTCTCTAATATCAGTTCAACCCCAAGCATTTCAAACGAAGATAAAAAGGCTATATTTGAAGCCACCAATCTCCCGTTTGGCCCCATCATTACACATTATAAAGAGAGAAATATATATATTTTTTTTGGGAAGTATGTGATTGAAAAAAGGAAAAGTTTTTATATTTATTTATAATATTATTTTATTGGGGATTGAATCGTTGATAAAAAGAGAAAAAAATGAATTATAATTTAACAGAGACATGAACAAATCTTGCACGTAACAAGTTTGAAAATGAAAAAGAATTGGTCTCCCAATCCAAATAGTTCCCCTTAGGGAAAGACAAGCACTATAAATATCCACGAGCATTTCTTACAAAACCTTAAAGTACACGAGAGCGAGAGAGAAGAGAGAGACAGCATAACTCGTTCCCGCCGTCCGCACTTTCTCGCTTCTATCCCCTCTCTCCAAAGCTTCCAAAGGAAGCCGAAAACAGTCTTTTATAAATTTTAGAGCATCGTACTACCTCTAAAGGGTTCTTAAAGTGTGTGTGTTTTTGTGTGTCAAATGGCTGTGACGAAGAGCAACAGGAAGAAGCAGCAGAGTTATATTTCCGTGTCTTCTCAGATTATCAGCTCAATCTCACAATCTTCACTCGAGTGCTTGCTAGAATCTCCCAAGAAAAAGCACATTTCTTCCTCAAAGCTAAGGCCTTTTTTGAAGAATCCAAGATTCTGGGTTTTCTTGATTTTTGTACTGTGTTTTCTTTGTATGTTGAAGATGTGGTTCAGCTTTGATCCAGTAACGCCTCTGACACAAAACCTATATTTTATTCCTCAAGAAAAGACATTATTATCAACTGGGCTGTCAAGTTCTCAGCTGAATCTTGTGGAAAATGAAGAAACAGATGATAAAATTGAGTTTTGGAAACAGCCTGAGGGGATGGGTTATAGGCCTTGTTTGGATGTCAGTGCGAAATATAGAGCGGAAACTGTTGAAATTATGAAGGACAGGACCAAGTACTTAATGGTGGTGGTTGCTGGTGGACTGAATCAGCAGAGGAATCAAATTGTTGATGCTGTTGTGATTGCAAGAATTCTTGGAGCTGCTCTAGTTGTTCCTATCTTGCAAGTCAATGTCATATGGGGTGATGAAAGGTTCCATCTTTTGACCATTTCTTGATTTCTCAGCCATGCATATACAATCTTTATTCAATTTGACCATGTCTTATAATGGTTATTTAATCTTCCACTTTAGTAAACTAAGTCATTTTGGTACATTTCAATCTATGATAAGAATTCTGTTTTTCATTGAAAATGGTTGAATTGTTGATTTCGTGGAGGAAATTGATAAAGTTGTTCTGTTTCTCTTGTTATTGTTGCAGTGAATTTTCTGATATTTTCTATTTGGATCAGTTCAAGAATGTTTTAGCGAATGATGTTCGAATAGTTTCATCGCTTCCCTCGACACATTTGATGACAAGGCATATGGGGGAGAAGACAACTCCTCTTCATGTTTCTCCCGAATGGATTCGCTCACACTACCTTAAAAGGGTAAGAAATTTCATTGTCATGCCTGTGTTTTCGAGTGTTTGTTACTTAAGCATGATGGTAAGGATTAGAAAATAGTTCAAACGAACTGGATGCTTCATTGGCATCTAACTTCAGTACATGCTCAATGATATCAATTGTCAATCTGCTTATGACCTTCCAATCCAATTGGATTGGTCACCAAAACCCTGCAATTATTGGTAAACAGCTAAAGTAGTTGTCTAGTCGATTGTTATTTCATATTTGAACTTTATATCTTGACGTCTCAAAATTATTGACAAATTCAAGTGAGTGACGTATTTTGAACAGCCATGTTTTGCCGTCCGCCTATTTTCTTTTCATTTTGATATTTTGAAGTATTTAACTTTTATGTATTTTTGGAACCCTGCAGCTTAAAAGGGATGGTGTATTACTTTTACGTGGCCTTGATTCTAGGCTTTCCAAGGATCTTCCTTCCGATCTTCAAAAGCTTCGCTGCAAGGTAGTTGGTGTACTCTTCTTGATACAATTGACGTACAGAGCCGTGACCCCTATTAACTTTGGAATTTCTCCTTGGCTATTTTCTTGAAATTTAGTGTGTATTCATCGAGTTCTCTTTCCAATTGTAGGTGGCTTTTCATGCATTGAGATTCGCCCCACATATCTCAGAACTTGGTAACAAACTTACTGAGAGGATGAGAAGGAAAGGACCATATCTTGCTCTTCATCTGCGTATGGAGAAGGATGTATGGGTGAGAACAGGGTGTCTTCCTGGTCTAAGCCAAGAGTACGATGCGATGATAAATAATGAGAGGAAGTCACGGCCGAAGCTCTTGACTTCAAGAAATAACATGACCTACCATGATAGAAAACTTGCAGGCCTCTGCCCCTTAAATGCCTTGGAGGTCACACGGTAAGCTTTTAAATTGCGAAAATCTCATTAATGGAGATATTAGCATAGGACGACTCCGTCTGAGTGATATGTCTTCTGTGTTTAGATTGTTGAAATCGTTAGGAGCACCAAAAAGTACAAGAATTTACTGGGCCGGAGGGATTCCATTAGGTGGAAAAGAAGCCTTGCAACCTTTGACTAGAGAATTTCCTCATTTCTATAACAAGGAAGACCTTGCCTTGCCGGGGGAGCTTGAACCATTTGAAAAGAAAGCTTCATTAATGGCTGCTATTGATCACATGGTTTCTGAAAATAGCAACGTATTCATGGCGTCTCATGGTGGAAATATGGGCCATGCAATTCAGGTATCGCATCCATCCATTTTATCATCTGCAAAAGATCACTTCTTATCAACTCATTATCTCTTATTTGGATTGGTTGAATTTAACTTGTGAAACAGGGGCAGAGGGCCTATGCAGGGCACAAAAAGACCATCACACCTAACAAAAGACAGATGCTTAGATACTTTATGAATTCTTCTCTCCCTGATGCCGAATTCAACAACATTATAATTGATTTGCACCGAGATTCCTTGGGGCAGCCAGAACTTAGGACTAGCAAAGTAGGAAGGGACGTGACGAAATATCCTGTCCCAGAGTGCATGTGCAATAATTCAGTGACAAATTCCTCTTTCTAACTCCTTATGGTATCATTTTGATGAATAAAGGTCATCAAGAAAGCTCCAAACATGATGTATTTGACAAATTCTTTAGGACTGAGTCCTCCGAAATACCTTGAAACTCGAAAAGTCCTTTAATTTCAGCTTACGCGCATCTTCCTAGAGATGCACTGCCAAATGTTAAAAAGCTGGGAATTCACTCCGAGGCCACATAGAAAGCATGTATATATTTGATTATCCTCGCGTATTTGTACAACCCGCACTAGGAAGAGACCTATTATACTTATGGTAACATACGCTGTATATCTTCATAGAATCCTCCCTCCTGTTTTTGAGATGCCCCGAGTAATTATTCAGGAAATGAATACACAATTTTTTTTATTTAATTGATTCTTAGTACTGTATCTATGTACAATGCCATTAATGATATATAAACATATACGGATTCCTTTGATGAATTTTGTTCTAAATTCTTGATTCATTTCACAGTCAAGGTTACTGGTTACTGACTGGTGAGTGGCAATGTGTTAGTGTATTTTTGCATGTTACATGAACTTGAAACCTCATTTTTCAGTCGTTATTAGTTGAGAAACATGATATAAATTGAGAAAAAATAAGGTATAATAGGTATAACAGAACATTATTCAAGTATTCTAACTTCAGAATATGAGGTACTATGAACAATTATAGCGTGTTTAGTCGTTGATGCTTTGAAATGCGATAATATCTATGAAATATATTTTTTGTTGATAGCTCGGGATCCGTGATTTTTCTGATCGATGTACATAAAATTTTTGAAAAAAGTGTAAATAATTAAATTGGTTGCACCTAACATTATTATTATTAGTGGGTTAGATCACCTAAATCTTATTTAATGAGAGAAAAAATCTATCTCAGTTTGGTAAAAAAAAAATGTAAAATCCTTACCTGAATGTAGTCTTTTACAAGGTGGGTAGGTATCCCACTATTTGTACCATCAGCATGATTTCCAGTCATTAAGAAACTACCAATCCAAAACAAAAGAATTAAAGAGAGCAATATGTATTTATTTTATTTTATTTTATTTCAGCAATAAAATGCCCCTTCACAGTAATATGAAAAGTCTAAAATGGAAACGTTTGTATACAAGTGATATATGAACCTAAATATTATGTCGAATAATCCCATCTAATATCGTAGGATATTCAAGAAGAATATACCATTAATAAACAACATAATTACTCAGGAAAAATAAAAATTCAATCGAACTTGCAAAATAAAGTGAAATCAGTACAATTTTGTGAATTGGGTTAGTTCGAGTATTTTCTTTCTTTTATATTTTTTGTGTNNNTTTCTTTCTTTTATATTTTTTGTGTTTCGCTTCTAAGTTCAGTGACTCAGTGAAACTTACCCTATAATTTTCAGGAAAAAACAAGTCTAACTCAGTTCTAAAGAAAAAAAATGCTCAAGTCAAAGAAATTAGACAAAATTATCAACTGAATAAATAAAAGGGATACTTACAAAAATATCCTTAAAATTACGGATGTTTTGAAAAATCATATGAAAGATTTTTAGAAAGTAAAAAATACTGTATAAAATGAAAAAGACACAATGTCACTTTTTTTTTTATAAAAATTGTCACTTTTTTACTTTTTTTGATACACAAACTCAAAAAAAGTGACAAAACTGAAAAAAATTGACACTTAAAAAGTGATACAAACTCAAAAGTGACACAAACTCAAAAAAAAGTGACAAATACCAAAATATCACCATCTATTTGTGTAGCGCCAACGATCATGTTCTTAAAATAATTAGCACGTTCAGATCAATCCACATGCTGATTATGTTAGGAAAATACAACATATTATTTTACTTTTTTTATCTTCTTAAAAAGTGACAACCGTTTAAAAGGTGCCAAAATTTAAAAAAGTGATACAATGTCACTTTTATAAAATTGAAGAGCAACTTTGACATCCNACAAAAACTTAAAAGGTGACAAAACCTAAAAAAAGTGACAAAATTTTAAAAAGTGATATAATGTCCTTCACAGCGCAGCTGGTGACTTCTTGGATGACCTCCGACTCCTCCTAAGACCCTATCTGAATTCCCTAAGATCCCTCATGTATGTCTCTAGAATCAACTCAGATTGGGTCGTAAAAGTCTTGATCAAACCCCCAAACTCCACCCACCACCACCAATGCCACCATCACCAGACGAATCAGACGAACTTTTGGGTGGCAGCTCTATGTGAACTGGATCTTGACCGACATCTTCCAGATCCTTATTCCTCTGTAGTGGGGATTTGAATTTTGGGTCATGGGGGTTTTCGCGTTTTGGAGGATCTGAATCCTCTGACAGAATGGATTTGAAGAAATTCATAACGTCATGTAAATGAATTGAAGGATCGAGTATTATGTTTTTCTGGTTATAATATGATGTAAAGAATGCTTTTCAGCTCATACAAATTCCTGAAACAAGTTAAAATCTCCTCCTCCACCACCAAATCCACCACCACCATCTGCACCTCCTCCCAATACAGCATCAGCTCCATATCCACCACTAGCACCAGACAAAAATATATGGAATTTTCTCGGAGATGAAAAATCTCCAGAGAAGTGGTTTCTATGAATGAGAGGAGCGAGTTTCGAATTTTTACTTGGGGGGTTGGAGTTTAGTTTAGATTATGACGTAATTATTACTTGAGCAAAATATTTAATTAGTTTAAAATGTATTAATCAAAATACT